AAGGAGTAGGAAGCTTAAAGCTAGTGATGGAAACAAGTAAGTACGAACACGAATGTTAAAATAAATATGATTATGCTTTTTTTTTTCTTTCTATCTACACAGTAGATTTATTGCATAAATACATTGTATCGTCGTCGCATTGGATAATAAATACTATTTTTTTCAATTAATTAGTCGAAAACAATAATGATGAGAGAAAAAAATCATGCTGGAAATTCAGTATTTCTATGTATATCTAAGTAGTTGTGAAACACAGAAATATGTAGAAATACGCTTTTTCCTCGTTGATTCAGCTCGTGGGCTATCTCATAATTTTTTACAGTCACGTAGCCCAAATTCGGCTATTGTAGAAAAAGTCGATTTTGATGGCGTTGTTCTAGTATCGGTAATGATATTGTTATTTATTTGATCTGATGATGATCGGTAAGATCGAAAATTTATCTAGAAAGCAAACAAAACACATCATGGTAACATGAGATTTTGTCTCTGCAAATCGTTAAAAGATGTTTAGAAATCCGTCCACTTCCAAATACATCTTTCTTCGTTTACATATCGTAAAAGCGCAGCTTCTTGGTATGAAAACGCTCAAAAATTTAAGTTGAATCGATCATAGGAACAATCAATCAAGAAAATGATTTTTGTTGTTTTTTTACGCGTAAAAGATTATGTGGGCACAAAAACGCGAAAATTGTGAATATTCAGTGCATTAATATGGAAAAAAATACTGTAAGTATGAAATTCGCCGTTCACACGCAGGAATGTTTTTCTTTTGCCACGGGTTCGGATCCAGTATTTTTCACATGCGTTTCAAAGCCTACAAGCTGTACTCTTTTCGTGTTTACAAGCGTTGGCGGCAGTTTTTGACTGCTTGAATACTGGTTATATTTTCTAAAGATCTGCTTCTTTCTTACAAAAGAGTAACGACAATGCTCTTACTGTCCTTTTCTTACTAGTGAAATGTGATTCTTCTTACGGATCAGATTCATATAAAAAAAAGAATAAGAAAAAAACACAACGCGCAAGAGAAAAAGAAAGTTAATTCACCGAGAGAAAAGTTGCTTGATTGTTGTGCAATATTTTTACAGTCAGGTAACAAAGAAGTCGCATATTTTTTTTCACTTACAATCTGAGTTTTCAAATGATTTTGGACGTAGCCATTGACTCGTGCAGGTCTACCAATCGCGAAACATTATTGAAGCTCACTGCTAATAGGTTTCAAATTACACACGGCCAGCAACTGGATTTTGCAAGCATAGATTGTAGCGCATTCGGAGCTTTTTCCTCCTCTTGTTTTTACCAAACATTCGCTTGTTTTGCGTTCGCTTAATTTGAGTTAAAACACGTGTATTGAAACAGTGGAATAACAGAGAAGAAGTAGTATAAAATGTTAAGAAACACACGCAGAAAAGGAGTGAGTGGAGCTTCCATCCATCTAATTCATCTTCATCGCCATCTTTATCACTGTTTGGCCAACATTACATAAATTGGAAGCAAATAATTTGATTCTGAATAATATCGCCTTAACAAACAACAGGTATAGAGACTAGTACAGTTATCACTCACCCACAAAATTGCCAGAAAAGAACGGGCATTTTCTAGAATCAAATTGTCAAGAGTTGTATCATTTTTGAAAGAACCCTTCGCCATGTCCTGATCTTCATAATATGTCTTGCTTGCTTTGTTTATTGTTTCAAAACACACTGCAACGTTCCAGCTGAACAACCAGCAGGTAATTTTAAAAAATGCTATAATCTTAAACCAGAAGATCATAAACGGAGAATACAATTTTACCTCTACAGAATGCTTTCATATATCTTTAGTAAAGCTTCAACCAAGCTATAGATAGCTAATGGGAGTTCGTAAGCAATCTATATCGACAGAACTAGAGTCGCCCATTGAGCACAACGTACAAGAGGCGGCAAGAAGTTTTACTGTCAAAGTAAATTTAAAATCCAGCATTCGCTTGAATCTGAAAGCGTCTTGAAACAATCCGAAAAAGTTCGAAAGTTCAAAGAAAATTCAATAGTTCAAACGAAGTTCAGAACATCGATTCTTTTCTTGAGAATGTAGGAGAAAGGTTTCGGACTCGTTATAATTGCCTCTAAGGATTAATCAGGTAGATTGAGTCAAATTAAGTCTGTAATTTTAGAAGCCATGTAGGGCTATCATCCCATATGTCCAACTCAAAGCTGTTGTTTTAATCAAAAGCACTGGAGTAGGTATCCTTAAAAACAAATGACATCAAGTGAATCAGTATTCGGCGAACGTTACTTATTTTTCTTCTTTTAACAGATTCAACATAAGATGAAAAATAAAAAACTCGCAAGATAGCAGATCCGCAGAGAGGTGGATACTTAATTCGACGTATGGTACCAAAAGATTATAGTAGACAGATCAAAACTTCACTTATAAAAACTTTCAAGTTATTGTTCATAACTTTTGACTTCCTTTTCTTCTAGAGTCTCGTGGTCCTCGATGAGCTCTAAAAATGCATTTTCAACGCTCTACCAAAATATGCTCTACTTTCACGGTACACACCATCAACAACTTTCGTCGATGCAACAACAGTGCAAGCAGGCCAAAAACGTCGGAGATTTGCACCGTTTGGCTTCCGATATTCATTCGTTTTGTCATTTTCTTCATCTTCATCACACGCTCGAAGATAAACACTTGTTTCCTTTAATTGCCCGCAAAATAGATATCTCGCATTTAGAAGCTCACCATGAACAACTTGCGCAACTTCTAGTCGAGTTTGAAAATTTTTCTAAGCGCCTCAAGCAGCTCAAAAGTTCAGACGAAGATATTAGTATTGTTGTCGTCGATGCCACAACACTTGTTAACAAAGTATCGACATTGGTCAATGAGCATGAAAGAGCCGAAGAGCAGGTTATTACACCGGATAACATGAAAAAATGGTTTACAGAGAATGAGATACAGCATTTTTTTAACATGTAATTTAAGGTAATTTTTCTAATGACGAAATACTTTCTTTTTCCATTTATTTCTGAATGTTTTGACAACGTTTATATTCGAAGATAAAATCAAAAGCCTCATGAACACTGTGCTGAATGGGGATATTTGCACTTAAGATAAAAGAATTCATATGTCACTCAAGAAGCATCAAGAAAAGTTGAAAACTTTAGTGTGATGATTCATTTTTTCTACTAAATACCATTATGTGATCGTAAAAATTGATAAGCAATTTTTCTCAGAGATATTTTAAATACTCTTTCGAAAATTTATAGATTTTTCTAACTTTTTATGAAGAAGTTATTCCATCGGGTGTATACCAAGGTTACATGATGAATCTCCTTGTAATGTGATAATTTCATGATTTGTAGAGCCAGAGCTGGCGATCATTTCGGTTCCATGGCTTATAAAAAAAATATACTGGTGTCTAGGAACAATAATGATCAACTTTTCAAGATTTTCCATACTTTTGGTGCAGCCCGTGAAAAAAAATTCTGCAAAACTTTATCTTTGAAATTTTTTTTTTTTATCTTTCATATTTTCGCTGGACTTAAAACGAATATTTGCATACTCCTTGGGACGTTCCATAAATTGTCTATAAGGGATTGTTTTTTTTCAATAATAGTCTGATTTTTTTTTAATGAAACTTAACATCTCTGTGAAACAAATGTAAATCTATCATTTATCGGGATGTGGGATGATGTGGGTGGATAGGACGTGATGGTGTTGAGGAAGAAACACTTGCCACAGACCCACCCATATCCACACTCACATCTCGGAATTCAGTACTCTATCTTTTTAGTCTATTGAAATTGTAGCTTAGAGGGTAGCTGATTTACGAGATTATCCAGCGGTGTCCTGTGATTCTATGTTAAATTGCTTTCAATCAGAACACAGGTAAAACGCATTTCTCTCGAGATTCAACTTTAAAATTAGGTGTGTTACTTTCCTATTAATATAAAATAAATAAAAACAATTTCTTTTTATTATTTGCTTTTAAATATACGTATGTTCTTTCATAATTTGTATCTATTTACAAATAATTATAGATTTTCAAAAATTATAGTTGTTTTAAATGTAAATTGTTGGTAATTCCATTCAGACATAAATTAACTCTAAAGAAAATATAGATACACAATTTATATAATAAAGTTCAATTGAGTAAAATAATTTTTTTCCTCAATCAATTCCACTCAATTGAAATGTATTGAACATTAAATAACTCGACTAAAATTGCATTAAAATAGTATCATTTATATTGATTTTTAATCAGAAAACTTCAATAAGAATCAGGTTTCTTCATTTTTTTTTAAAACAAAGGGCAACTTTCTTTTTGCCCTGTCCTAATCTACCTCCAACAGAGCAGGACTACAACGTAGAAGTTTGTCCTGGCATGATTCAGACCATAGCCCGGTAATCTCGCCCTCTGACGGCTTCTGGTAGGCATTCAGAACAAAATCGCATCCCTAGTCTTATCACTTTTATCATCGAAAACTAACAATTTTGTGAACTCGCCGGTTTTTACGGATTCGGAAATATTTTTAGGTCGGACTGGTCGATCTAGTATCTCCTGTTCTACTAGAACTCTGCATTCACAACCACGACAAACTTAGTCGTAGCTTAAATTATTTTTATTTACTAAATATTTTTTTTACAAGAATAGACACAACATTCTATACAATCATTTCACTTTTAAATGTATGTAATCAACTACACGTTTAATTGTATAATTATTCAGCAGTTTCTCATCATCAATCATTTTTTTAAAACGTTTAACCATTACATCATCAGCTGCTGGAACTTGAAAATAGATTGAACGAAGTTGATCATTGTAACCATCAGTTATTTTTGCCAAAATATTTCGTAAAAACAATTGAGCATCCGTATCATATAAGGAGTTCAATTTGAAATATGCAAGGTAAGGGCACAGGGTCATGAGAACATAAATTTCTTCAATATCATCCATCATTTCGAGATAAAGTTTCGTAATTTTACATTTTTTTGATCCCGAATAAAGCATTGTCATTTCTTTACTATGTGCATTTGTTGATTGATCTAATGATAAAGAATTCATTTTTAATGAATTAAGTTGAGGTAATAAAAGTATAATTTGAATTAATAAATCAATTGAGATCGTATCTGTGGGAGTTTGCAAATGATGAATCAGTGTAACATTTAAGACACGATTGATATCCATAATTAATGATTCATATGACTCTTCAAGAAGATTATACGTAATTGAAAGTCGAATAGATTCAGAAAATTCAATAGAAGATTTATCAATATCATCTTCCATATATTCATACCATCTTTTTCTAAAAATGACAAGATTATTTATTTAATATGAAAGATTCTTTTCCATATACTTGTATGGTCGAATTGCATATATGATAGCAGAACCAGAGATTTCAGCTTCAAATATCCATTGCCGTTCAATCCAAAATGACGTAGAGAAATGATGTGGTTCGTTAAAGTATGTTGGAGATTCAAAATCTTCATAAATTGTTTCGTAATATCGTAGATCAAATTTTTCTATTTGAGGCATATATTTTAAAATTAATTGTTCCCATAGAATAGCATCAAGATAATTGATATCTTCTGATTCAGTACTAAGAAATAAAACTTTTAATGTTGAAGATATTTGACTAATAAATATTTCAAATTCATCAAATTTTAAATGATGTGCATGTATAGAAAGATGTTTTAAATTTGATAATGTGATTGGTGAGATAATATCAGTATTTGGATGAAGCTTTTTTGTTTGCATAAAATTAAGATGACAAAGTTGAGGTGTATAAGACAATATAGCAGACAGTTCTTTAAAAGTAGAACAATGATCCATTAAAAGATATTTAATCGGACTGAATTGTTTATTGGCAATCATAGGTAGTGAGTTTGTTAAATCTATGTTGTATGATGAAAGTTTGTAATATTTTAACATTGATAAAGCAAGTATTAATTGATAGACAATACTTAATTCTTTTAACGTCCAGCATGTACCAATTTTTATTGAGAAAAGACGAGGTAAAGAATTTAATTTGGCAAGAATTGAGATTAGTACATTTGTATTAATTCTTTCAAAAACAAGTGATCCGAGATGAGTAAGTGACGAATCGATAGGAAACAAGGAGTAAAAAATATCAATGTCAAATGTCAGACTAAAATTAATTGAAAGTATTTTATGTCTGTTAATTATTAAAGATTTTTTATAAATATTCATAGACTCATTAGTTAGTGTATTAAGTTCAAGTTTAAATATAAGGGATGATGAATTAAGAAGTTGTTGAAAACGATGATTGAGATTTGAAAATGCTTTAAATATATTACACCCGTCAAGATAATCGAATAATTCATAGAAGAATTCATTGGACAAATTTTCAATGGAAGTTATTAATAATCTATATGAAAATGTAATGCAAACGAAAGATTCATTTTTTTTTGTATAACTTACGTATTCTGATCATCGTTTAAATGATGCCTTACCTTCTGTACTTTGTTATCATAGAAATCGTTGTAAGTTAACCTTCGTTTGGTTTTATCCATGTTTCTGTTAAAATAATCAAGATAATCTAAATAAAGCAACGTATTATACATTTATATGTTTATAAACAAATATCTTTTCGTTAGTCGTTGTTTGAAAAACTGATTCGTTCAGCATGTTTTTTTCTTAAGTAACGAACTGCAGAGTAACTATGAAAATAATGGTACACATTTTCAATCAATCAACACCTCTATGTTATAGTTGCCCGTTGTTTTTCTTCGTCATCTATGCTCTTCATTAATCACGTTGTTGTACGCTGTATATTGTTACTTTCCTGTTCATATTTAAACTCATTCATTTTCTCGATGTGAGCGCGTTCCTTCATGTATGCGTATATATCCTCATCTTTCTTTTTTCTGTTCGTTGATAGAGAGCGTGTACCATTATGAACTCAGAGCTATCCTCAATATTAATATTTATTGGGCTACTTTTGTCACTATAAACATATACTTATATATCGGTCATTCAGGAGAAGAGAAAAAGAAACACAAAATCACCAAGGAACAAGTTATGCAGAGAGGAAAAAAATAGAAAAGTGAAATCTAGCGGTCATTCATTGTTTTAATGATATCATTCTATTCTTTTGCCCTTGCTTAACAGAATAACTTCCAATCAATCATCCGCTTTTTTTTTGTTGAATGTCCCATAGAAAATCATTTCTCAAACAATTCATTATATAAAATTTTTGTTCTATAATTGTGATTTTGATCAATATTAACAATTGCTGAATAGAGAGTATGACCGAGAAGAATGATGAACAGTAATCAGTATTCATTGAGGTAATGAACGAATGAACGGAGATATACAAGTAGAACAACATGACATTACTGGGAAATTGCAGTATTAAGTATCGTGATGTTTACAGAACGTCAGCGAACGTATTAAAGAGCGTTTAACGTTGGACCGGCTATGCGAATATTTCGGCACACTTTTTTTTAATATCAATACGTGTTATCTCTGTTATTTTTCTCAAATTTCTTCATCTTATGTAAAAATGAACTTCATGAATGCCTGTATTTTCTCATTTGCGAATATAATTCATGAATGAAAAAAAAGTAATTATATTTTCAAAGTCTGTGCTAATAAGTTTTCGAAATTTCCTTTAAAAATGAAATTTCAGAATAACGTCTCATTTTCTTAAATGAAACAGTATATTTCCCTTTTTAAAACTCTTGAGATGCATTCATTTCAATTTAAAAGAATATGTTAATTAACATCTATATATATAATATTCAGTGGATGTTTGTACCCAGATTCAAGGTCAAGGTTTCAGCGAGATACGAGTTGGTATCCGTATGGCTTAGGAAGTGAGTAAGTGAGATTACGATTGTTTTGGATATGATGAATTGACACACTCGACATTTGTATCTAAAACTACTAAACTGTCTAGGCTCATCTAAGTATCAAAATTACTTCTATTGAAATAGTAAATGTAAGGGCTTCAAGTACATTTCGAACTATTTGCCCACCGTCGGAACAATCTTGTTTTCAATGATTAAAATAAACAACAGTACAGTGTGTATGAGAACTTGCTGATAATGAATAGTTTTTGATATATTATCTCTCAAAACTAGCGAATCACTTTATACTATAGAATTTTCTAAATAAATAAATTTAATTGTAATTTGAATTAATTCTAACTTGTAAAGATCGTATAAATCACTATTATAGACTTCACGTTATGGCTCCGCTATTTAATGAGTTTAATCAAAACCTTGTTATTACCATTAGAAGACAGAGAGTCGAATATCGAATAGGCAAATCTACTACAATGTTTATTCGTACAGTTTAAATTATCAGTTTTCAAAATCAATGACAGCCATCAATTACATTGTAGCAAATAAGAATGATTAGTAAGTTCTTTTTTCTTTAAAAAAAAACTATCTTCTGTAATTGATATATTTGCTATAAGAAAATTAGAGGAAATCCAGAATGAAGTCAAAATGATATTGAAAGAACTCTTCACATGATATTATATTCAATTGGCTCGTATTCAGTGTCAATCGGCAAAGCAAGAGATCCAATAACATTCAAGAGTGTTTATTGAATGAAATACAACACAGAGGAACAATGCCTTACATAATTGCTAGATAAATTATATCACAGCAAAAAAATCAATCGAGTTATTATTGTTTCTATTAGTCTTAATTTCATTATTCGGTAATGATCTCTGTCTATCAGGAGGAACCATGAAAACATTATTGATTAACGTTTGATTTCCACGGCAGTGTTTGATACGATAACACTATACTTATCAATTCACGACTATAGATACTAGCCGTCAGAATGTACAAGAGAAAAGTTGTAACGTAGAAAAATTAATTTCATAATGAACATATATTAATGATGAAGCCGAGAAAAGCCGTTTGCATGTCAAAATTAATTACAGATAATGTGTATGTAGTTACTAATGGGCAAGAAAAAGACTACGTAATTAAGTACTTGCCTTAATAACATTTGTGTTAGTGGGTTTTCAGTACCACGCTGTCAACTGTCATTACCATGTACAGGTACTACTCGATTTCTCTGACCATGGACATTTAGAATTGTAAGTATACTGAAAGTGGCCATTATCAATGGCACAAAACAATCTACAATAATAACTTGAACTATAATCATGGCTGTAGCAGCAGTGTCAGTATGTGACAAACAAATACCACCATAATCATCGTTGATATACCAAATAATTAACATTGGACTAAGTACAATAGGAAGTATAATCGGCATGATGATGATAGCTCGACAGGCCACAGTGATCGAACTCCAACTGCGCACCCAAACTAGTGTTGATAATTTACAAAACGATCAAATGTAGCCAGTATCAAAAGTAGATTTATATAGAATGCTATCATTGTAAAAAGATAGGGTAATAACTTGTAGCCGACAAGAGTACTATATGGTTTGAACATGAAATAGTATTCAACAAATTGAGATCCTGGTCCAATGATCAAATAAAGAATAGAAGTTACGGCTATTGCAAGAAAATAGTGAGTATATGGTGACGTTTGTAATAAGCGTCGCCGTAAAAGGACAAACGTAATAAATATATTTGTTAAAATTCCGAGTACGATTTGTAATGGTATAATGATACTTCCAAGACGACCGTAGGTCCATTCATAGTCAATCATAGATGTCATTCTTTGATCTCATATACGTATACTGTTCTTAAAGAACAAGTTATTTACTGAGCAAAAAAGCAAAGAATATTATTCCGTCGTAGAGAATAACAGACAAGGTGAAACTGTCTCTCTATATAATATTACATATGACTATGTAAATACATGATAAAATGCATCCTCTATAATAATTTCTTGTCACATTGAGCATACAATGGAAAATAATGAAAAAAGCTCAAGTATATTCTGTTGTGAAATCTATTCAAGAGTATCATTAGCAATAGACAATGCCTTTTCAAGTTTTCCATTAAATGTCCCAAGTTCTTTTAGAATTTACATGTAGGTAATAGACCGTAATTTTTAAGATAATCTACTGTTACTTTCAGTCAATTCTGGTATAATTTGACTGAATTTCAAGTCATCAGTTGATTCTTATGGAAATAAATGACCGGAGGATATGTCTAAATATGATTTTGATAGATATCGGCAAATCGATCATGGTATGATATGAAAGATATGTCTATGAGCTAAATCAAGATTCTATTTCTATGAATTAACTACTTTGAGAAAATTTCGAATCCAGATTGTGATATGATAAACAACACATAGTTTATGTTTTATTGATCTTTGTAACAATTAGAATTATCATTGATTCACAAATTCAAAAGAATAAAAGATTTCTGTTTTAATAGAGTTCTTTCATAAAAAAAGAATGTTGTTTCTATTTACGACAAATAATATACGATGTGAATAACGGATTGTCATCTCATATGAACGATTTTGAATGTGATATAAATTGAATACAATCTATAGATTACATTAAAATCACAAGAATCGAAATTATAGTTATTGCATAAGTTAAATATGTTATAAGATGATATTCATTGTTTTACCATAGCGTTTTAACTTTATCATAGTTATTTAAAGCGTTGATAGCTGTTGAAATGATTGCCAACCCTTCATTCAGATGGAATATATATTCATCAATATCCATTGAATCTGGAATACTTTAAAGATTTTTGGTCCTAATTAATAAATTTCTGTAGCTATCAAAATAAGTGTCGGTTATTTATTTAAGGGTGCTGATTGTTTTCGAGCAAGGAATGGAGTTTGGGGTTCGTGAAGTCTAATTTGTCATCAATAATTTAAATAGCTAGTGGCTTTGTGACAATGTTTACTTCATGAATTTCGGTCATTTTATGAGCGATTAAAAACGTGCGTCATAAAAATTATCGTAGCTATTTCACAGATTTAATGACTGTTGATGAAAAAAAAATATTCGGAATTGAAATGGTCACTTACAGTAAAAGATAAAAAGAAAATACGAAACTGTTAGAAACGAATCAGGCATTTAAATAATTTAAAGTCTGTTTCGTTTTTTTAAATAGCTATGGAAAGCATTAAATAGCGGTACACAGTTTAAATACCTATGCATAGATTTAAATAGCTATGAAGATCTATTTAAATAGTTAAATGTTTAATTAAAAAGTATCTCTTTTGAGAAGCTAAGAGAATAACAGATAAAAATAGAATTTACAAACGGCCCGTACTAATTGGGTACAACGTTGATCAAAGTTATTGCTTGAGTTCGTCGGCATTTTCACGACTCACTTTCATCTTGAGATGGTGGTGCCTGAATCTCTGACGTGCTATATTGATGGTTTCCTTTTTCATGTTCGATAGCCTTTTTATGTCGGCGAAGAGCTTCCAATGCTTTGATCATGTTTTTATGCGCCGTGATCAGGTTTGGATGATTCGTGGGAAGATGGTTTTGTTGGATTTAAAGTGCCTTTTTATAGTAAGAGAGGGAAGTCGAGTGGTCTCCTATCGAGTAATGGACTCCACCAATATTTGGGTACGTGGTAGCTATCTCTGGATGATTGGATGGAAGTGTTTTTTATTCGATATCAAGTGACTTCTTATTGTAAGAGAGTGCAGACAAATAACTTCCCATCGATACGATAGATACACCGAACCAATGTTGTTGTAGATAGTAGCGAGATCTGTATGCTTCGATGGAAGGAATTTTTCTCTGATTTCAAGTGTCTTCTCAAGATATGGCATTGCAGTGGCGTAATCTTCCTTCAGTCAATACATCAAACCAATTGTGTTATAGATATAAGCAAAGACTGAATGATTGGTTGGAAGAGATTTTTGTTGAATTTTAGGTGTGTTCTCGAAGCATGAGAGTACAATTAAGTAATCTTCCATGAAACACTGCACACCAACAATGTTGTTTTAAGTAGTAGCCAGCGAGGAATGATTGGCTGGGAGAGATTTTTGTTGGGTTTCAATTGTCTTCTCAAAGTATAATAATGCAATCGAATAGTTTTCCATCGATTGAGGCACTGTACTAATTGTGTTGTACGTGATTGCGGATGTGGGTGGGGAGGGGGAGGGGNTTCTCGATGTAGGAAGTCGAAAATAGTGATTTTGAGCAGGTGGAGGTAATTTACATGGAAAAGTTAGATGTATTGCTTCTCAAAGATGAGAAATGGTGGTATCAAGGGCTAATTAAAAATATCAGACAACCAAAGATTTTTCATCGTCGAAACTCGAAAAATTTCAATTGATTATGTAGCTTGTCAATTATCTACGTAGATAATAGTAGTGGGAACATCACAGCAAATATGTTGACCAGTGGCACGCAGATAAGATACCATATAGACGGCACGCGAGACACTGCTTCAATTAGCCAACCTTCATCGCCATCTAGCCAAGTAAGTAGTGGTACAAAACAATAGCCCATATAAATATTTATGGCACTCAAGCGCTTTGCTCAATCTTGATATCCGTTTTTCTCCGTCACTCTCAATCAAATGTTTCCTCAATTCATCATTTGACAAAACATAGCGTTACTTAATTACTCTTATCTTTTTTTAATCGTTTTGTATGAATTAGACTGTAAAGAATGAAGTGTTTGCCACGATTCTCATGATATCGATTCACAATGCGAGAGGGTATGAGATGACCAATCGTCAGTTTGAATGAGAATGGTCGTGATTACATGTCTATTCAAGAATTTTCATGACATTGATTGAAAATTGGATAGAGTGAGCTCGTGGGTGCGGATATCGGGTGGCAATGAATGTGGCACAGTTTATGTACATCCACACTCAAATCTAGATCCGCACCCACATCCACACTTCTCATTGAAAGAAGAAAAGTGAACAACGAAGCATCATTGAAGTTCTACGAATTATATCTGCATGCTGTAAAAAAAATGCGCCAACTATGATTCTAGAAAAAATTATAGCATCTCCGTTCATTTCCAAGAAATAGTTCGTTCGAATCGGTTCAACATGTGCAGAGATTTTCCTTGAAAGTCATGTGGATTGACAAGATGATAAATCATTTGATATGGAGCATGTTCTTTAGCGAGTGTCTATAAACACTATAAAGTTCCCGGTCGATTGCTATCAGTCTCTTTTTTTGTACTTTTTTTTCTTGTTCCTCGATTATCTCAAATAAGACGAAGATATAATCAATCAAAGAAAAGTGTTATATAAATGATGCATAAATTTGCATCGATACGAATATGTTCGACTATCGCTTGCTGATTCGTGCTCGCAGACTATATTTAGGTCTCATGGTAATACCAACATTGGGTGTCACAATTTGACCTGGTTCCAATTCGAAACGACATCTTTTCAGTAACATTGCTAATTTGACTTTGGCTTCAAGCAATGCAAAATTCTGTCCAATACAGGTTCGCTGTCCAGCAGCAAATGGTAAATAGCAGAAAGGATGAGCTAATTTTGATTTGTGACCTGTGACAGGATCACGTATCCATCGCGTGTAATCGAATTCGAGTGATCGAGGCCAAAATTCTGCTCGTTGATGGAGAACATAAGCGTTTACGGCAATGATTGTGTTTGCCGGGATAAACAATGGTCGATGACTTTCACTACCGATAGTATGTTCACGTATACAATATCGTGCAAAAAGAGGTGGCGGAGAATAGAGACGAATGATTTCTTGCATGACAGCTTCGCATACAGTTAAATTACTAATGTGTTCATAGGTAGGATCAATGTCGTCGGGAAGAACACGATCGACTTCGTTAAGACAAGCGTGCAGAACTTGCTCGTTCGTCATCAACACGTGCATAGCCCAGACAAGAAGATTTCCGGTTGTTTCATGGCCAGCCAACACAAAAGTCACAGCTTCATCCTTGATCTCCTCATCTGAGAACGGTTGACCATGTGCATCCACTGCTGATAGAAGTAAATCGAGAATATCAGATCCTGAGCATAAATTTTTTGAACGACCCTGCCGTCGATCGGCAATAATCTGCTCCACAAACTGAGCTATTTCTCGAGTACCTTTGTTGACAATTTGCTTACGCCAGAAAGGCATTGCTGCTAGGACAGGAATTATGTTGATCATCCGTGTTGTCCGATACTCAATTGCTTCGAGCACCATCGTGAAGACCTGAGACACAGTGCTTTTGGCATTATCAATGCTTTCAAAGCCTTTTCCAAATGCACATGAGGCAATGATTGCTAGTGTAGGAGCACTGAATTCTGTCTGCAAATCAACAGATCGATGGCTACTTGTAATAAAAAATTCATCAATCATCTTTCTCGTTTGATCAATCATGATAGACACCATCGATTGAAGATTGACAAAGTGAAATGCTGGATTGAACATTTTCCGGGCTCGTTCATGTTCGTCTCCTTCACTCACAGGAAGATTATGTATACCAATTATAGGCTTGAAGACAATTGCACTCAGAGGCGCCTTAGTATAGTCGTGGGCATGTGATCGACCAAGAACATCGGCAAGTAGATCTGGATCATGGACGAAGAGACGCATAAAAGGACCAAAGCCCATGAGAAAAACATGTCCCTGTTTTTTAGCAAGCGCTTCGTGATAAGCCATATACTGATCATCGGCTCGAGCTCGATTCATTTCAAGCAACTGGCCAATGATGGGCACAAATGGTTCACCTGGCACACCTTAACGACGAAATACATCGTAGGTATATTTTGCTGGCCGAATTAATTTCCAGTACACGATGAAAACAAGCGTTAGAGTAATATTCACAAGTGCATATAAAAGCAGATAGAACATCATTTCGTGCTGCTTATACACGTTAAGAATAATCGAATGATAAAATTACATAGTATTGTAGCCGTTGAAACAACGAAAGAAAAAAATTGCATTTTCCGCTCACTTTTTCGTTCTATTTTATTCTGCGAGACCGCCTTGGAGAAGAAACGAAAAAAAAATGCATTGGCTTTTGTTGGTCCACTTAAGAAGTTTATGTATCCGTAAGAAAGGTTGATAAAAATACCATTTATAACACATTCTTTAAGAGTCTATGAATACGATATACTCTTGTGTAAACTTTTTCATATACCCTTTCTAACGGTTTTATGAAAGAGTCTATAAAGATTTCGTTAACGGTAAAAAGGATTATTTTTATACACTGTACCTTCATACTTCGTGTAAGTATTTATTATTCTGCGTTGGGGGCGGGGGCGAGGGATGAAGAGAATATTCACGTCCACATCCATATCCTGTTTCAATAAGCATTATAGATTTAGAGCATGCGATTTCTTGCTTGATTTGAACTCTCAATAAGTTTAATCGGTTAATGACTTGTCAAATCTGAAAATAATACAACAATTGGGAATATACAGCTTAAGATCGGATCAATTTGGGCATTTCATTATTTCAATAAGGATAAAATTGTATTGCATAAAAGTCAAAGACAAGCAGGTTGACTTTCACTCATGTGAAGTTGACTTTTGCTGGTGCATTATTTCTATGTTCAGAAAATTCGAAATCAATTTGCACAGTTTCATTCTACAGAGGTGTCGTGAGAAGAGTGTTTCCGAACTGGTAGTATACCACTGCTGGTGAGCAATAAACAAAACTTTCATTTTATGAAAGGCAAAAATGAATTACGTCATATTGGTCCTAATAAAAAATGTCCCCTTACAAATGTCCCACATAAAATGTCCTCGACATAAAATATCTTCGGAAAAATGTTCCGAGTGCAAAATGTCTTAATGCTAAAAGGTCCTTGGAAAAATGTCCCCTGTTAAAAATGTCCTTGCAAAGAAGTTCCAGAAAAAATGTCCCCTACCGAAAATATCCCAGAAAAAAAGTCTCAGAATAAAATATCCCCTGCCGGAAAAGGCTAAAAGAGATGTCCTCTAACGGAAAAGTGTCAGAACAAAAATTCGAAAGAAATTGTCCTTCCATCTACAATAACCTTTAGCGACATCGTGTATGAAGCTTGATCATATCATATATTAAGCATATTCTTTTAATTATTTGCGTAGAGGAGTTTATCACTTAAATGCAGAATGGCTACGAGTGAATAATAATAAAACAGGAAAATGCACAGTTGAATCAGACTGTATCTCGTTTCAAACATTTCAATTTGCTTCACAAAAATTAAAAATATCATCAGCGTCATCGTTGTCTTCACAATCCATACCATCTTCTTCATTGCTGTCGATTATAACTAAACATATTATTAGAAAAACAATATCGAACAAAGGACGAGCTATGTTAATTATCAACGGATTCGAATTTCAATTGAAAAATTACAATTCTGATAAAACTGTACGATTTTGGCGTTGTGCTAACAGAGATTGTGGTGTTATTTTACATACACATATTCGGGATGAATTTTTACGATATTCTGGAAAACTTACGGAACATTGTCATTTACCAAACACAGCCTGAGTGAAAGTTCGCAATGCTAAGCAGACAATGCGAAAGCGTGCCCTAAATGATTTAGTACCATTACAACAAATCGTTGAACAAGAAATGAGAAAAGCATTGTTAACAGCAGATGCTCTTGCATTATTGCCCAGTATGCCAGATATTGGTATACGTAACCCGCGTTTATTATTTAACATTGAAATGTCGATGTTTTATGTTTGCTTATAAGCATGCGTGTCTTTTAAGGTCATTCATTAATGCAGTTTCGTCATAAATTGACTCCCATTCTTCTGGATTCATTATCATTTGTTATTTCATTTGAATATACAAGAGGTTATTATAATAATCAACGATTATTACTTCATGATAGTAATGATCCTCTATTTCGAAATAATCAATCACAAGCAGTAAAACCACGTGGAAGAGTATTAGTTTGATCGTCAGATACTCAACTCCAGCTGTTGTTCGATAGCAATCGCGTTTTTATGGATGGTACATTTAGCACATATCCATCTCACTTCGACCATGTGTATATCATGCACGCAATTGTACATGGCACATATAAGTTAGCTTGGTTTAGACAAATATTTATCTATTCATGTATCTGATATACGAATGAATTTTTTTTGTTTTTTTCGTTTTTCTACCTGCAGGTTTACCTGTGGTCTATTATCTTCTTCAAGATCGTTATGCAAGTACATATGTGTATTGATTCAATGTCTTATTTGCGGAAGCAGCTCGATTAAATACAAATTTTGAACCATCGCTGATAATGAGCGCCTTTGAACCTGCTCTTGAAAAAGCAATTAGGCTTGGGGTATTATTATTTTTCGCATCAAATCTCGCTTTTAATTGTCACGATTTGCATCTTTCTTTTTAGTTTAACGAAAAAACAATCCAAACAGGATGCCTTTTTCCACTTCTGCCAAGCAGCTTATAGGAAGGTGCAATCACTTGGCTTATCATTGACATATCTGGACAATGTTATAATACGTAGTACTATTCGACAAATGATGGCATTCGCATTGGTTCAGAAAGAATTAGTTTCATCGTTGTTTTCTGATATTGGTCAAGATTTAACTGATCCTGACCGCATTGAACTACCCGATTTATTCAAATATTTTGATGAATATTGGATGAAACAAATACCAATATGGAATGTTTTTAATTTGTGTGAAACAACAAACAATGCATGTGAAGGTATGTAATTGTCTACATATCTGGATGTGATGGAAATGTATATATTACAACTAAGAATCTTCCATCTTTTTTAGGATATCACAATTGATTGAAAAAACGTATGACTAAAATCCATCCAAATATATGGTATTTTATCGATTCAATAAAAAAAGAAACAAATACGGCAGATGATGTTCTTATCCAAATATCATGCGAAATGAAACATCGTTCAACAGCACCAAAGACAAAATTGACTGAACGACGAATGCAAGAATTATATGATCGCTTTTCTGCTAGAACAATATCAGTAAAATAACCCATGTGAAAATTATTGCATGTGTAAGCTAATTTCAAGTGCTTAAATAAGCTTACACTTCAATTAAGTGCTTTAACGTGCTTAAACATTATGGTTCTAAGCTGCTGAAAGCGGCTTGAATCAATTAAGCCGCTAAATATAACTTATAATGGCCTTTGATAAGCGCTTTCCAGCGTTTATCATGAAAAGTACTGAAAAGTGCTGGAAGTTTTTATATTTTTAAGTACTTCCCAGCACTTATCATGGAAAGCATTGAAAATCGCTGTAGATTTTTATTCCTTTAAGCGCTTTCCAATGCTCATTACAAAAAGCGCTTATAATTACTGTGATTTTTGTCATTTCTAAGAACTTTTCAGCATTTTGCATGAAAGCCGCTGGAAAATGCTTTATTTTTTCTTATATTTTAGTGTTTGACATGACGCACATAAAAAAGACTCAGAAAGACCAGTGACTCCTTCGGAAGACCGGTCAGCACAATCTATCCTACTTTCGGAAATGTTTTTTTTTCTTTTCTGAGAAGAAAATGTTCACAAAATGAGTCTATATTACCGTTAGTGAACTGCGAAACACATTTTTTTGACCATGATNTAATAAAAAAAAACATTTTTCAGGCAAAAGACTTTTTTTTGTCAAATGTTTGAACACTATCCAAATACTTTTCTTATCATATTTTTCTGCAAGTTACCGATGAGAAAAATATAGATACAAAATTATAATCATGACTGTAATTTTTCCAATGAAGGTTCTCCAGTGAAAAATGATTGTTTCACACAAAGATTGACGATGGTTGTAGGCTAGAATAACCTATAGTTCGTTGGTTTTTCACTCAAAAGACAATCTGACAGTTGAGATGGTTACCTAGTTGATTTAGTAAGTTTTGTACAAGCACACACAAAGAAGAGAAGAGAAATATGTCTGTTTATACAGATTGTCAGTGAAATATTGCTTCTTAATCGTACAACTCATCTTTTTAAGACTAATATTAGTATAGGTAGGGGACTTAATCTGTTTGAAATTGGTTCGCTCATATGAACATAGAAGACATAGAATACTTTTCATCCTTTTGTATTTCCGCACAACTTGTATGAATGATCGTCATTTGATCATGTATCACACAGATTATTACACAAAAAAATGCGTAAAAGAAAGAAAAACATGTAATCAGTAGTGTCCTTTTTTGTCTGCTTTTCTCCCTTATTATTAGACATTCAATTAGCATTGTTTTTGTTTGTTTTTTTTCTCGATTCTGTTGTTCTATTTTTCATCTATCGTTACGTACCAAATGAATAACATAATAGTCAGTGATCAGACCTTTGTAGAGGACGAAACGATCGTGTTTTATAAGTTATAAATATGATCGAGAATTTTGATTGTTAATATATAGAAATAGAAACTGCAATTTGATCCATAATCAGGGTTCTAAGTTCATTTGATTTTTTATAGTTAAACAACAATATATTGTCCCTATTTCATCAAATGCATCGCTCTCTAATAATTCATCCTAGTCCATTGTCGAATATCATATTAAACAATCATAACAGTTGAATCGATAAGTATAGTAGATGTTTATAATTTTAGAAAAAAAATATTGATCGAACAATTGTGAAAGCGTTCCAATGGATGGAAATGACTTACAATCGATACATTGTTTGCTATATCTTTAACTGTGTCTTCTGTACTCTCTCCTTATTAATATTTTCCAAATAAGGTTATTTCGATTTTTTGAGAAGAAACACAAAAGAAAAGTATTTATATTCAATAGGTTCATTTTTTATAGTAGAACTCACTAACACACCTACAGTAACATAGTTATACAAATTGGTATTTACTAGCTTATTTTATGGCAATGGAAACTATAAGAANTTTGGAGTTTTTTAAAACTATAAAGCTTAAAGTGAAAATCGATGTTCTTTTTTCTGTCACGTCGCTAACAGTTATTTTTTTAAAGATAACTCCTGTAAAAAAAAAGCTCTGCAGCACTGATTTTTTCAGAGTATCTAAACTAACTAAGCGTCCATGTAGCATTTAAAAATTAGGTTTAGGAAAGCCACTACTCCGAACTATAGATATTTTGATTTTACGATGTCACATCCCTAACGAATGATTATCTATAAAGAAAAGGCTGTCAGAAAGAGAGAGAAGCTCAAACTTCAAATGCTCACTCATGATTTTTTAAATGAGTTTGGCAATATAACACAACTAACTAATTGTTCAAACGAATCATTTTAGAAAATCGTCAAGTTTGTTGCACTGTACGTGGTTTATGGATACAAAATCGAGATAAACTTATCTCGTTTAATTTATTTAACAAAGGACCAACTGAAATTCAAACAATTTGATATGAACGCTTTTCATCTCGACTCAGTTTACTTCTGTTTACCAGTATACTGACTTTAATTATCTATACAATTTTATCAAAAGAAATAGTAAAACCAATAATTTTACTACCTACACAAGCTCGTTACGAAGAATCATTATCTTCGCATTCTGATATACTTCAATGTCCTTGTACTCACATTTCTGTCGCATACAAGAATTTCATCATCATTAATACTACTTCTCATCAAGTATGTTCAAGCGACTTCGTCAGTGAGACATGGATTGATTTTCTATATGGTGATGGTGTCTCGGGTTATCAAGAGAGATCCGATTTTCGTATTCGTGGAGCTGCATATTTGGTTTTCTGTCAAAATTATGCAAACTCTCACAAACAACTATTAAAAATTCGATTGATCAATTTTTAAAAACATCATTTGTAAGTAGTCAAATAATACCTGAATCACAATTTAGTCTCTAGATGAATGTAGCTACTAGCCAATTTGAAACTAAAACACCGGTTCAATTTTATTGTGTCTTGCAACTTACACGTGATATAATAGATAGAAATACTTTCATATCTACCTATTTCTTAAATTGGTATTGGCCCATAAACAGCATTACTTTATATCATACAATTCCGGTACAAGTTATCATGCTAAATAATGAATGTTCTTGTGGAGTAAGAAGTGATTGTTCAGAATCTGGTGGTATCCGTATATCATTTTCTAATATTAAAAATTTAACAATGTTCGGAATCAACGTAAGTTGTTCGGTAGTCGAAACTTTGATGCAATCAATATTCGAGTGCTTATACAGTCAAACATGTATTGATGAATTTCAACATTATGCTACAACAGTGCCTATTGTTATTTCGAATTGAACAAATGTAACAGCTATGAAATCTGTATTTTCAAGCCGTTTTCCGATACATATAGCTATTCGTGATATTGTTCGCGCACTTTTTATCGAAAAATGGCAAATCAATTTTTCCTATTCTGCTTTCTACCAACATTGTACTCCGGTCTAATGCTCTTACATATTTGTGAAGTACCACAACGTTCTATATGCTGTTTCGAGAATTTTAGGTTTCTATGGTGACTTAACTGTTATTCTGCGATTCATTGTTCCGCACGTAATTCGCATGTATTTCAAGATAAAATATCGTTGCTGTAAAAATACCGTTGCCTCTGTTGCTTAGCTTTATCTAATCTCATAGGCAATGTTTATTTATTTATTCAATAATAAATGACTTCGAAACATTTATCTTGAAATTTCTCAAGTGAAAGAGACTCATTCATTATTGTACATTGAAACGGAAAAAATTTGTAATGCCGATCTGACCTTGCCTCTTAGGTAAACAGTCAAACGTAGGTAGCTGAAATGTTACATCAACTGATAAAACATTTTTCGAGTTAGAATTCAAGCAGAAGGTGAAAAAGATTAAATGTATTCACAATTTTGGTGATTGATGACTGTGAAGTTTCAATTTATCTACCGGCACATAAAAGTGTAGCTTGAGTTTCACACGATCAACTATTAGACTCCAAGAGAGAAAGAAAATACCTAGAAGAAGGATATTATCTGCGATTCTCTTATGTTTCTGTCACATACTCAATTTCATTCTAAATCTACTGTTTTCGAGTATTAGTATCATATATCGTTTCATGTTACATTTGTCTTAGTTCGAGCTATCCCTAACATTATTTCTCTCTTCATATGAACTTTTGTTTCTTTACGCTGTGAATTGAACAACAAAAGAAATATTCTGAAAAATTTGATAGAAAATGCATCTGAGAAAGTTAGCAGAAGTTTTGTTTATTCTCGATGATGAGCTCGAAAGGATGATAGGTAATTCACAAACAGAAAGCGTTGTTCTTATGTAATTTGTATTGATTGAAGATGCTCTTAGCATTGGTAAATAATCGAATGGAGTTAAGGACTCAAACACATATGAATCAATAAAGATGAGTAAGAGCAATGAGGCGATCATATTGATTACACAGTTTCCAGTTTGCGAGTGTGGATCTGGATCTTTCCTGTTAGATTGGCATCCTTATCAGCATCTAACATAAAGAGTACGACTACTAAACATTTCCATTAGCTTTGCTAATGAACAGTGATCGATATCATTGACAATATCACTGAAACCTTGATGAAAAGGTTCCATTTACTCGGATCTATCATCGTCATTTGTTTTGCTCATTAATTGTTGAACGAATCATAGTCAACTGTCCTTGTATTCATCATTTCATGTCCACTTTGTCGTGATAGTCATTGATTGAAAAATCGAATCTGATCGAAGATGTAGATGTAAAATGTCTTAAATACTTATAAAAATAAAAAGGATTGTCATTGGGTTTCGTAAGACCGAGTTAGTCTTTATACTTATTTGTA